GCCATCGCCCGAATGGAACCCGAAAGGAAAGCGGCGAGTTGGTCGTCAGTGTGAGGGTGACTTGAAGGAGGTGATGTGAAGAGGAGATGGAAACATGTGGGCAGACTTGGAGCGGGGTGAAAAAGTTGGCAGAAAACCGAAGGCAATGGAGACGTGCAGCTGAAGCCCTATGTTCCTCTAGGAATTAAAAGATATTTTAATAATAATAGTAATAATATACGGTTGCCTATTACCACGGCGCTATTCTATTAAGCATGGTGAAGTCAAGATGAACATTTTTGTCACAGACTGTATAGAAGCTGATTCGCATCTCCTGGTAACAACTATGCTAAAATTCTCTTTTTTTATTTTCGTGACTTTTAATACTGAATTTTGATTGATTATATTGTTTTTTTTTTTACCGATGGTATACGGTAATGTAATGTCGTTACAAGATGATTTATTCGATTCTCTGCTTTCATGACGCAGTCAGTATGACAATCCCGCATTCCAATCAGTTGTTATCTTTACACACCATTAACTATGACTAATGATTTCACTCTCATATGATATCTCAACTACTACTCTTGTGTAAACGCCTACGACACAATACTCTAATTGCATCTTTGTTATGACGTGATGTTATGATGTGATGTTTATTTCTTTTGTATCTATATAAACATGACTCACATTAGAAATATTACTTCTCACGGTGATACCTATTCAGTGTGTTTCTATGTGTTAAAATGATTTTCTTTATTAGTCCTACACGCTAAACTAATATTCTCACATTTCAGAATCTGATAATATCTGAAGAGTCAAGTTATCTATGTTATCGTCAGTTATAGCTGTTGCTATTAGTAACTGTGGTGACAAAGAAACCCCTACACATGTTCATACACTCTGACCAACAGTGACCTAACTCAATCTTATAAATTACGTCACTCCGTGTGTTGTTGAAGATCTGTCTCTCCCTTCTCACAACATTATTCCGAACAATAATGATCATACACAATGGAATCTTCCAGTTACCACGGTAAAGAAAGACTGATAACTGCTTCTTTCTGGACGCATAAATCAGGTTTCAGGCGCCCCTTGATGGAAATGGCTTCAGCAAACTTAAGGAGAACTGAGCTCTTTTGCCTATTGATAATTTTGAACGATTTTTCGACGTCCACCTCATGACCCGTGTCGAGGAGATGCCTGGCAATGGCACTATTTAAAGCATTTGTTCCCTTTAGACATAAGCTTTTTAGTATATGTTCAGAAAACCTTAGATATACTCTTCTTTCTGTCCTTCCAATGTAACTGCTCTGGCACATACATGTAAATTTGTATATACAGTTTGAGTTGTTAACATGAGAAGGATATCTATTGATTTTTGATTGCATCAAACAGCAAGTTGTTCGATAGACGGGAACGAGCTTAGCTGCAGAATAGTCTCTGGCTAGTGATGTCCTCGATCTTCTGTTGACCAATGCTGCAATGTTTTCACCTTTATAATCAAGCTGAATGTAGATTGGCTTTTCATCTAAGTAACAAGAAACTGTGGCGATTAACAAACCAATAAGCAAGAGCCAATCGCACAAAAAATATGTAGGGGAAATAGAGATGCATTGATCGGACATACATTGAGCAGACCGTCGAATGACATCGTGCGCAATGCAAGCCGTCGCTCGGGCGGAATCCTAATGGGAAGTGACAAGTGGGTCGTCGGTGTGAAGGTGACATGGATGAGGTGTGGTGGCCAGCAGGAGATGGGAGATTATGGGCAATCATGAACCCAGCTGATGAGGACAGCAGAAAATAGAGGGAAGTGGAGATGTATTGTTGAAGCCCTATGAACCACTTGGAGCCCAAGGGAATAATAATAATAATAAAATTGAACATTGATTCTAAATTGGATTACCAAGGTAGGTTCGCAGTAATAAGAAATAATTTCTGAACACATGAGACAGGTTTAAGCCAAGGATTCGACGAATTCGAGTATGTAACCCAACCTTGTTTTATATGTGGGTTTAAAAGTATTATTGAAAATCAATCTTTTGACCCTTTCTTTATGGTGTACTTTGCTAAACATGATGTTGGTCACATTCGTTTACAGGATTTGTTGTATCCGGTGGTTGTATATGTTATTACTGTCACTATGGAATATGTTCTGCAGCCTTGACCTACAGAGACCGATGGGTTCTCCATATCCACGTGTGTCCAGATATACATGTAAATCGATAAACACAATAGGTTGTGACACTATCGTTCGGATGCTGTGAGGGTTTACAGGACAGCATAGATCTCGTTTTCTCTATGAAAATAAGTTTGGCTGCATAGTGAGTTCTATTAATTACGGCCTTGAGTCTTGGTTTAGTGATCAAACTTTGTTGATCACCCCTGAAAGACAAAGATATTTAAGCGTCTTTTCTGGGAGGTGCCTTTAAACAGACACTTAACCAGAGCCTTTTTATACTGTAGTGGATCAAAACTATGATAATTTAGATACTGTCTCGTCCTTTTGGACTTTCTGTAGACAGATCGGTTTATTGACCCATCTTGTCGGCGAATAATGAGTACATCTAAAAATGACAAACAGTCATTATTCTCTTCCATGTATTTTAACAACATACTGTTCTGTACTGTATTGATCTGGTTAAGGATCTCTATCGCACCTGTCGATTTATCACAAATGACTATTATTATGTTATCCATGTATCTCTTATAAAAATAAACTTTTCCAATTGCATCCTCACCTAAGTTCACGACATGCAAGACGTATGAACCTAAGGGGCATCTCACAGACCAGATGTAGTGGAAATCCTCGCCCTGAAATCTAAACATTGTCAGTAACTCTTTCAAATAACCACTGAAAATACCCATCGAGACATTTCAGGGAAAAGAACAAGAAGTTCAGCAAAGATATCTGTCTTTTCGGAGAATTCATTCTCAAAAGCAGCTGTACAATCGCATTTATATAATTTATATATTTATGTAATTTTTTGTTTCTATGCCTCTTGTAATCTATATGTCACACCTCCTAACTTACATTTCAAGTTGAAGATTTTGATTTCAGCTTGTTTCCACGCTCATTTTGTTCACACCTGTAATTCGTTCTATCCCTGTGTAACTTTCGTCTTTAAGCCTCTTGTAAGTCATATCAAGTTGAAAAATAATTACCACCTTTTATTCGCCTTTAAAATTATTATTTCTCCAGTTATCAAATAATAATTTTGCATACGTTGTAACTGTTTTCTAATCCTTTGCAATCTTGTCCCTAAGCCTCTTGTAACCTATATATTCGTACCTTCAAACTTTCATATCAAGTTGCAAATTATTATCACCTTCGTTACTATGTGGAATTAAATAAGTAATAATTTTATTCATGTGAACTAATGTATATAATGAAATAACGGATATGTGAAATGAAACAGGTGGAGGCATATATTGAGAAAAGAGATAATATCACTAATAATAATAAGTCCGGATAGTATAAATGAAAAATTCGATAGTATTGAGGGAATGTTTGCATGAAGGGGATAAGTTATCACGAATAATAATAATAATAGTTGTAATAGTAATATTTGTAATAATAAGCGAAGGAAAAACCCAAGAAGGTTAATGGAGAGGAGCACTCTTAGTGAGAAGAAGAATCATCAATCCAAGTTTGGCCAAGGTAAGAACAGCATCTGGACGTGTTATTTTTGGATACAAAGTTCCGGTTTAGTCTATCTTATTGTGAGACAGCTTCAGTTATGTGTAGGAGACGTAAGCGAACTGTAGGTGATAACGACTTCGGAATTCGGTATATAACCCTGAAAGCTGTGTTGACATCGATACGATGTCCAATATCTACCAGGTGTGACAGGATCGAGCTTTTTATGCACTTAATTTCCCCCCCCCTTTATCGTACACTGCACATCGCATCGATGTCAACACAGCTTTCAGGGTTATATACCGAATTCCGAAGTCGTTATCACCTACAGTTCGCTTACGTCTCCTACACATAACTGAAGCTGTCTCACAATAAGATAGACTAAACCGGAACTTTGTATCCAAAAATAACACGTCCAGATGCTGTTCTTACCTTGGCCAAACTTGGATTGATGATTCTTCTTCTCACTAAGAGTGCTCCTCTCCATTAACCTTCTTGGGTTTTTCCTTCGCTTATTATTACAAATATTACTATTACAACTATTATTATTATTATTCGTGATAACTTATCCCCTTCATGCAAACATTCCCTCAATACTATCGAATTTTTCATTTATACTATCCGGACTTATTATTATTAGCGATATTATCTCTTTTCTCAATATATGCCTCCACCTGTTTCATTTCACATATTCGTTATTTCATTATGAACCACCTCTCATTGCAGTCTTACTATCTCCTGTTTAACACAGATCACTTTGTACTAGCTATTCACCTGACACTTTTTATAATGTATAAATGTGCGATTGTACAGCTGCTTTTGAGAATGAAATCTCCGAAAAGACAGATATCTTTGCTGAACTTCTTGTTATTTTACCTCTTTTGTATAAGATATGGACAGTGGCATTAAGAAATTACTGTTAGAGCTGTAGTCACACAAAATGTTAGCCATCTTTTTTCTCTCTCTGACGCCACCTACGCCTAAATCTCTACATACTATGTATGTTTCAATTAAGAAACATGTGATTCACTGTGCTGTTTATTGTATTTGTATGGGCGCGTTGTATGAATCATCTTTATGGAATGTGTATCTTTTAATTGGTCGAATTACTATTAGACTATTTTAGCCGTTTATATTCATTCATTCAGACTACACATATTAACGAAGTCCACACATATTTCATTCAAAGCTGGCCAATTCATTTGCTATTGGTTCATATGCCTTTGTCTAACTGATCGATAAAGACAATAACAATAAATTTTCATTGGTTAATGAAAGCTATTTAATTCAATATTCTTCAACTATTGTTATTATTATTGTTATTTATTGCTATCTATTGTTCTTGTAACTTGAAATTGCTTACACACACACACACACAATGACTGGTTTAATCGCTGCAAATCAATATAATTGGAAAGATACTAATCTTGCTCTATTCGGTTCTGATGTTGAAAGAGCTGTTAAAAGTGAGTAGAAAATTGTACTTAAAATGATTAGAGTTTTTGTCTTTTTAGAATTTTTATTCCACATTGTACATTGAACAAGTGACTACTGGCTTTGTTTTTTTGTAGTAAATTGTTAGCTGTTGGGTTAAGACATCTTACAGGGAGCAGTAGCAATTATGCTGCGCCACGCCCTGGAACTGAATACTGTTTGTTGACCTTAGTTACATCGATTATATTCTACGCCCCGTAAATCTTGATAACTAGGTAAAAGTGGTTAGACTTCTGTCAGTTTATGAACCCTTGTAGGTAAAAACAAATCACAGCTGTGGTTCATGCGAATGATCCACTCATTGACCTTGAATCATCCAATCAGAATTAGGCTAGGTAATGATGGAGAACGAATGCTGTTCAACATTTGAACAAAGTACATTTAATCTGAAAAAGTCATACAAAACCAAATCCTATCCTTTAACCCTAACTAATGAACCTAAATGATGGTTATTCGGATGACTGATAACAATCTGCTTTATTCTAAAAACAGAACTTATAATACAGAATGGAATTCTCAGCATTTGTCCCTATAATGAATCTAATCTACTCAAAATATAGGTGCACAGGAATTTGTGCACATTTACAGTGGGAATAAAGTCAAAAATGTGCAAAGTACAAGATAATAATAATAACAACAGTGGGCTTGTCTCAAACAGTATTGTCGATACACTATGGAAATTTTAGCATCTTATAGGGTATTGAATCTAATGTTCTGTTGACATAGCAGCATGGTGAGGGGAAATACAAAAAATAACAATTATTACAGAGCTTAAATGATGTTTACACTTAAAAGAAAACAAACACACACAAAACCGTGAGAGGATCATAAATACAAGAATAACAATAACGGTAAAGTTTGGGGAAATAAGGATGGAGAAAATTGTTTATTTACTAGTGGAAAGAAGGTTAGTTAGTTAATTCGTGTCTGACACTATTTTCATCACACTAAATACGTGACGCCAAACATGATATTGTGGAATTTTTTTATACTTAGACATACGTGCATAAAGTCTTTTGAAATGACTTCTTGTTTTACCTGAGGAGACACAAGTTTGGAGCTGGGGGTAAAGTGGATGCTCAGAGTCTGACAAAATTCCTTTAGTAAATTTGTTACATGAAATCAAGTGCCTATCAATGACGATGTCAACGATATGGCCCAATGATATACCACTCACCCTACTGACAGTCTTCAGAGTTCTACGATGTATGATATAGTCTTTTTTAAGCAATCCAGAAAAGTATAAGGCTGAACAATAAAGAAGTAAAGGCAAGGTTCAAGAGTTGACAGACTGTAAGAGGAGGGTTGAGTTGTGTCAGAGTGCCTTAACTTCTTAATGTATAAAGTCAGACGAAATATTCTTTTAGAAGTCGTCAAGACATGGGAAGACCAGGATAGGTAAGAATTAATCGAAGATACTTAACTTCAGACTTGGTTTCTATATCAGTATCATCAATTTTACAACAGTCATAGTAATTAACAGCTTCGTCAGTTAACTTTCTTTGACATCAGAAACTGAAATTAACAGACTGACATTTGGAAGGATTTAGTTTAGGCTTTACTTAAGCAGAATTTAATGAAAATAAAATACGTAGTTCAGCAAAGAGTCTCTTTCTTCAGCGGCGAATTCATTTACTTAGCTATACAATCGCAATTATACATACTTATTTTTTTATGTACGTGCGTACATTAGATTTATCCAATAAGAATGAAAATAAGTTAGGGTTATTGTTCTCAAGATATTTCAAAAATGTGATGAGTAATCCAAATTGTAACTAGGGTGGTGTTTGGGTGAAGACTGGTAAGAGGGTGGTAGTGATGTGTTGTCCAAAAACATGTTTATTAACACATCAAAGAAGTTGAATGGGCGTGATACAGTTACGTAATAAGACGAATAGTTTAATGAGTGAGTTTTCACTAGAATGTACATAGAAACAAAGGAAAATATGGAATTATGTTAGAGTTCTAAAAAGTACAAATGTTATCAAGAGTTAGAAAAAAATGAATTCACCGAAAAGAGACTATTCGCTGAACTACGTGTTTTGTTTTCATTAATATCTGGATGAGAGTTATTCCTGAATTAATTGGAATTTGCCTAGGCAAGTAAGGGAGAGATAAATGTAGAAAAAACTTGTTTTGTCGTAAGCAAAGACTAGGATTATTCTCTCGAATTAGTTCCTATAGCTTCGGCTATGTGTTTAGCAGGTGGGTTGGAATTGCGTGAGAAAGGTTCTTTGATGGAATGTGATAGATAACTTTGAGAGCACTTCTTCCGTCCACTTGGTGACCCTTATCAACTTAAATACACAAAGTGAAAAAAAGGGCTTAAGAATACGAATATTAAGAATAATTAACATTACATTTGGTTATTTTATCGGATAAGGATTACCAAAAGTAGGTTAAGAGTAAGAGTAAATTTTCAAGTGTCGGTTTTTGTTATGTACTCGTCGCCAAATTATTGCTATGTACTGGTCGAGAATTTAATAGTCCTGACGCAAGAAGGCGGAAATCAGAAGACCACTAGGTTTACGATGATACTTCTATTTTCCGAACACAAGGAGAATCAATAAGTGGTATCACACCAAAAATAAGTAAATCAGTGTAAGTCACAAGATTGTGAGAACGAAATATATATATATATATATATATATATATATATGAATGTTCAGACAAAGGTGTGAACAATCATTAGGCAGTCTTAACATGAATGGCTAATTATAATGAAGTATCGATCCATATATACATAGCGAAATATAGCATACATGTCAACAACCACCATATATGGATATATATCACCAAGCAACGGACTGTCAACAAACACTCATATTATATGTAATATAGGGGGAATATACATTGTTAAAGGAGACAAGTTCATACAAGTGAAATGGTCACAGACTAAGAGAGCAAACAGAAAGAGAGATCACCATACACACACACATATAAATATATATATATGGATATGGATACATATCAGTTTTGTAGGTATTTTGTTTGATTAGTTCAAAGATTTCATCATTAGCTGACACTAGTTAGAGAACTGCTAGAAAACCTGGGAGTACTGGACAGTACGCATCCACCGAGGTTCGTGTACCGATGAAGAGACCCAAACTAGGACGAAACAGCTGTCCAGTACTCCCAGGTTTTCCAATGTTTCTGTAACCGATGTCAGCTCATGATGAAATCATCCAACTAATAATAAATTGTTTTGCACACATGCAAGCGGGAGGGGTTGGTCTTAACTTTACGCGTAACCATCGCCTTAGTATATTTCATTATGTGTCCCTGACAATTTTTGATATCACTCCTATCACCTAAGTGTTTTGAAACAGATAAGGCTAGTGGTCTGCCACATTTTCATAGTTCGGTTGCTTTTCAAGCTATTGCGTATGTACTCCATTGATATATCACATTTTTCACGTAAACTCCATCTTCCAAATATACTGTTCAAATTTTTCTCAGAGTTTTCCAATATTAGTTTTGTAGGGATTTCCTTTGATTGGTTGGAGGATTTCATCATGAGCTGACATCAGTTACAGAATCATTGGAAAACTATCCAAGGAGTACTGGATAACTGTTTCTTCCCAGTTTGGGACTCTTCATCAGGACGCATCCTCCGGCATTCGAAATCCCGGCTTTCTGGTGGGAAGTTTGCGGCAGGTTGTAGGTGAGGCAGTTACTCATCGAAGAAGACATTGCAAAGTGGTCTCTCTATGTCATGAATTGGCAGAAGTTATAATCCATGGAATGGCCATTGGATCGGGTCCCAGTGGTTTAATGGTCTACGAGCTCGCTGACCTTTTAACCGAAAGGTCCTTGGTCCCAACCGTGTCGGTGGGTGCTTAATACTGAAGAGTCACAGACTAGGTTGAAATAGCTATCCAATACTCCCTGGTGGTTTCCCAGTGATTCTCTAACTGATGTCAGCTCATGATGAAATCCTCCAACCAATTTTCTGAAAAAAACAATATAGATAACATTAGATTTCATGATACCATGATTCACACTGCCTTATACAGTATGTAATAAATCATACCTAGAAAGGTTAACCATTGATATTGGGGAAAAATTTCGGTTTGTTTCAAGGTCTAACGATCATCCATAGATTTCAAGACTGATGTCTCGTCTTCTCTACTCAGATGAGAAGTAACGGAAAAATCCCAATGGACTCATTTAATCCTAAAGTTTGCGTATTAAAGTTCATTAATAATTTCATAATAATAATAATAATGACATCTAATTTTCTCACTGCATGAACAATAATTAATATAGGGCACTTATAGTAATAATAATTTACATTAATAGTGTTGTTCAATAAGAATATGAATATAAAATTAAATCAAGTTAAAATACTAACGATAAGGTAATAATGCGAACAAAAAACAACAATGCCGTTCACTTAGAGTTCCTCAGTAAGTTAGTTAGTAATTTCCCCTGCCTTACACTTCTCTCATCTCATAAAATGTGTGCCTACCAAATAAGGTATTGCAGAGTTTTTTATACTTAGTCGTCCACGTACGTAGTCTTCTTCAGTTGCTTCTAGTTCTACCTGCCTAATGAGATGCAGCAAGGAGAGAGTTGTGTATAGAGAGGATGCGCTTAAGATCCGAGAAGGTAATATTTCCTAATTTCTTGCAGGAATCCGTGTCTATCTACAAAAGTAGTATTAACGAGTTGATTTAGCAACACCCCACTCGCTCCCCCCTATTGACGGCTTTTAGTGCCCTACACAGTATAACAAAAATTTTCTTAAATAACCCGGGAAAGATTAAGGTTGGAGGAACAGTAAAGAAATATAGGCAAAATACAAGAATTAACAAACAGTAACAGCAGAGACGAAATGATACCAAGTCGTCTTAACCTCCTTACGTGAAACGTCAAACGAAATATCTTTCTGGAAGTTAACATGATTAGGGGAGGGGGAAGACCAGGAATCATCAAGATAAGAGGAAATACACAGTCCAAGGTATTTTTAACATTCAATTTGGTTTCAACTTCATTGCCACCTAACCAGTTCACGTAAGTCGTGCTTGCATCTGAAAGCGAAATTAACCACCTAATATTTCAAAGGAATTAGGTTTAAAAGCATTTGATGAAAAGGGTCACCACTGACTAATCTCACATAATATTTGATCTAGAAAATGTCTCAAATTTCATTGAAACATATTGACTCAATATAAACAAAGAATAATTCAATGAGTGCTTTATACTGAACGATGGTGCTTCGTCGTGAAGACACCTTGATAAGAGCTTCATTGTGAGCTGTTCAAGCTACTTATTTTAGTGACGATGTCTCTTACGTTTAATCCTCAGTTTTGTCTTGCCTGTGATTCATAATTCAAATATATATATATATATATATATATATATATATATATATATATAGTATAAAGAATACTAGAAATCGAATTTACATAATCATAAAAACACAAATTAAACAGATCTTTCGATGTCGTTCAATTCACACCAGATAGTCGATAATTAAATTGGCCATTAGATATGATAGAGAAGATTTGTAGATCAGGTGGATGATTCTGATGTGGTTGTGTTCTCTGAGCTGGTGGATGGTTAATTTGCAAAGCTTTCACCACCCTACTACTAGGTGACATCTTCAGCGAATACTTCAAGTTGAATTGAAGTGAGCCTTTAGATTTCTTCACGAGTTTATTAATCATCTCTTCTGATGGGTGGCTTTGGACGTGATTGGTTGTTTTTGTGTGTTTTCATACTCTCTAGGCTACTTGTGGTATTGGAACTGATTGTTTCCCTCTGACTTGAACTTCAATCCTTTGTGTGTGAGGTATCCTTCTTATCGGTTGTTAAATGCCATGACATGACATCCACTCTTTCACTCATATCACTACACACAGACAACAACGGACATCAATTCGACTGGGACAACCAACGGTCAAATATTAGACAGAGGAAACAACAAGAATGCTAGAGAATTTTTAGAAGCCAGCCTGGTATTCCAGTGAATCATCAATCAATCGATAGACACATCGAGATAGACAAAATTTATCAACCGATAAGAAAGAAACTTCACACACAAAGGGGCAAAGTTCAAGTCAGAGGGAAACAATCAGTTCCAATACAAGTATCCTATAAGGTGTGGAAACACACAAAAACAACTAATCACGTCCAAGGTCACCCACGGGGAGAGATGATTAATAAACTCGTGGCGAAATCGAAAAACTCATTTCAGCGAATTGACGTATTCACTGAAGATGTCGCCTAGTAGGTGAGGCGATGAAAGCTTCGCAAATTAACCATCCAGCCAGCTCAGAGAACACAACCATATAAAAATTGGCCATTATCATCCAATGAACGACTCGCGTGCATTAATTTGTCCTCTCAAATATATTATCCCCCATTTCAACCCGTATATCTTGTATCATTTCCCTGAAATTATAAACTTCTTATAATATGGAAGTCCTTACTTGTTGGAAGAATAGTTGCCGGGTTAGAGTCCCAGTAGGAAAAAATCACTCACTTGGATACCGATACATTCAGCTGACGAGCCATGGACAGGACGAAATACGGCCAAGGGAATAAAAGCCTGACTTTTAAAAAATATTAACATAATAATAACAACAAATATCGAAGTTATTCTTTTTAAACACATATTTGCTTTTAAACCTCAGTATTTGAGGTCAAACTACCTAATGTCAGTAGTATCTTCAAATTATCATTAAATATTTTGAAAATAAAGAATAAAATAAAAACTAAGACGACAATACATTTAAAGGTTTTTAATCTTATTCATTTATAGAGGAATCTGCTGAGAAAGAAGCTGCATGGCAACCTGTACGAAAAGTGACTTCTCCGACACTCATGGTGTGGCGCATCAAGGTATTCTCTTGTTCATAACATGCCTTATTAATTTTTATTCATATACTGTACTGAATTGTGGTTTTTAACAATCCGCTTTATTTTACCACTATCAGACTTTGTAAAGAGCAGTTCGTGTCTGCAGTGATACAGTGTTCAACTCACAGACCAGAGGAATCCCATGATTCCTTGACAAATTTCTCAACTATTATCCCTGAATGATCTATCTATTATTAGGTTGTATGCAGCAGTTTAAAGTACCACCAGTCATGCCACTATTAATAATAATAAAAGCTTCATTCTGAAAAAATGACTTTGACATAATACAGGATTTTTGTAACGACAGAAGACAACGGACAGACAACAGACCGTTTATTGAGGAAATCAACAGATATTTATAGATTTTTATGTAAATTATTGTCGTTGGAGAAGCATCGTCTTCTGATTGGCTATTTTCCTGCTAAAGGTTATTCTATCATTTCTTTGTGGCCGTTTCTTTGAAGGTCAGAACGTAAACCTGCTAATCGTATCCGCCCACGCTAAGTCTGCTGTGATTGGTTTTTGAGCCCCTCAAGGTTAGGCTTAGTTCCTGTTTTTTCTCGTGACTCCAATTTGGTACGTGAACACTGGCGTAAATTGCTGCCTACAATTTTGGCTTGCCGACAGCTGTCACCACATTTTTACCATGTTCCTCTTGTGTAGAATCTTCAAATAAGAGGATTATCGACAATACATTATCCGAGATTCTAAAGAATGTAGTATGTCTTTTATTTTGGCAATCTTGTTGAAACATTCAAGGACTTTCAGGGTGATTGTCAGCATTTTTCACTTGGAATGCGTATCTCACTTGGAACCTTTAGTGGTTTTACTCAATAATAACTGACGTAAACAGCGAAGAAAATTCTATTTTCGACGATTCATTTTCATTAGCTACTGTTCAATCGTAATTATAAATAGCAAGGAAATCATTAGACCAATCAGATACTGGCAGGATCTGTCCTCGGAAACGTATTATGTAATCTGAGTTGCCATCTGACTGTGATACTAGTGCTAAGGTTTTTGCTATTATTGTTGTTGCCGCTTGTTACTCTTCGTGTTGTGAATTATTTTCCTTTTGCTGGTGTTGTTCTGACTGCTTTATTCCTTGTTTTCCTGGTTTTAAGGGGAGCAACTTACAAGGTCCTTTCTCTGTAAACTATATTTTAGTGTAACAACCCCCCTTCTCAGGCGTGAGGCTGGCGACCCCACCACCTTGTAAACAAAGTTGCTCTAGAAACTTCAGCACGATGAATCTCCTTGCACCAAAAGAAGAAGTCTGCCGTCTAAAAGGGGCGACTAATTGGAAATTAGAAAAGGGGGCGTAAGTTGACTTGATGTAATAAGTGTGATAAAATGACCAATCAGCATAATTGTGTAGAATAGACAGGAACTAGTAGAAAGGCGACAAAGTGTTTCTATAAAATCTGTATGAATAGGCAGTGTTATTAATCAATAGTAGTGGAGTGATAACAATATAAGGATATGAGAATAATGACAATAATAATAATAATAATAAACTTGCATAATAAAAGAAAGCAAAATTGTAGTGAGAACGTTACTCTGACCACGGTAAGGCGAGGAAATGCATGTGGTACTATTCAATGCAGAGGTCCAGTTTCAGATCCCGAATAGCCAATGATTCAACTATGTATGTACAGATGGCGTATTCGAAGTCTTTTCTTAAGATATTGTGGGACTCTGTGTATCACTGTGAAGCATTCATGAAAGTGAGTATGCTCGATCTCCAGAGTTAACAAATTGTTCGAGGATGGAGCTGCTAGCCAAGCTGGACAGTGTTCCAGAATAAGTTAGCGGACTTGACGTTGTGTACAGCCAACATACTTTGCTCCTTTAGTTGAATTTCAACATAAAAATTTCCACAGAAGTGTACCACTTTAGCTCGCTAGAATTCATAGAGTACACAAATGAAAGGAGTTAAAATGAATAAAAATGTACTTGAGAAAGAATAATTGCATGCAGAAACATGAAGACTTATTGGGTCTGATAGATTATTAAGAGTGAATACATCTCCTCTTCCATGTGAGTCGCCGACCATGCACATGGTCTGTGATTCGATCCCCTACCGACGTACACCTGATATCATTAGTCGGCCTGCAAAATTTCGGCTGCTGAAAATTCCATACTTGTAATAAAAATACGGCGTGGAGTCAAGCTATAAATTAAAATAAATTAAGAATGATTTTGAGCCATATGACCAACAATCTCAAGTTGTTGTTTCTTAATGTCTCAGTGACAAAACCTCATACTCTCTACTTCCCCTCAATGACTACCTCAAAGACTGCACAGAAAGATGCCATGTTTTGATTTAACCACGGTTAAGTCTTTTTTCAACTTTATCCTTTATCAGCTAATATTTTTTTTTGAAGAGGAAGGCGGTGGCTCGGCCTAACAAGTAACAAGTATCCTAGTCATGTCAATTGATGTAGCCTCGCAACTTCATCTAATGACCTGCTCTATTCCCTTATACTCTACGCCCTAACATCAATATAACTCACCATCTTAAATCACAACATGGGAGACATTATGCAAATATTTGGGGTGAAATTTACGTAATACCGGATTCTCCATTTTATTACATTATTATTATTCCCTTACGTTCCTAGTGGAACATACGTCTTCATCTCCACTTCTTTCTATTTTCTGCGTCCACGATTGACCAAACTCTGTCATCTCTTCCTCTCACGATCTCCTCCATGTCACCCTAGGATGACTAACTCGTCGCTTTCTATTCGGATTTCACTCTGTGTGGCGGGTGTTCGATGTCATTCGGTGGCCTCCTCAATGTATACCCAATCCATCTCCATCTTCTCCTACCTTTCTGTTGAGTGATCGGCTCTTGCTTGTTGGTTTGTTCCCAGTCAGAGTTTCTTGTTGCTTATTCTTTCTGGCCTTTTTGGTCATCACTATGGAGCCAGCAAGTGAAGAAGGCGGTTGTTGATGTGTAAGTCTGCAACCTAATTTAAATCCTTTCTGTGACACACAGTGCAAGTTTCTGACCTGTATAGATGAACCAACTTTACATTTGTGCTGAAAATGCGAATCTTGTTCCTTATGCTGAACTCGGAAGATTTTCAAACTGGTTTCAGGTTGATGAAGGCGTATTTTTCTTTTCCGATTCTGATTGGCTGGTTTTGACATCTTCATCCGTGCGGTTTGGCTGTGTTTGAAATCGTGCTTCCTAGATAAGTGAAGGAGGCAACCTCTTTCAAATCCGTCCTCATGATAGTGAATGGTGCTGGTTGTTGTTGTTGTTGATTGGTTCTCTTCGTCAACTCCGTTTTCTCTATGTTCACCTATAGTCCTGTTTTCGCTGCCAGCCTCTTCAGCCAGTTTGCTGGTTTTCTCCTGTAAGTCTTCGAGTTTGTGTGACATCATCTGCGAAATCCAGATCTTCTAGTATCTTCTTATCGTTGGTCCAGGGTATTCCTGGCTCCTTGCCCACCCCCCAACAGTCTGACGCATAATCCAGTCCCCCATAAATAAGAATATCACTGGTGATAACAGGCAGGCCGCTTTATTTTACTCCTGTATGCACTTCGAACGCCTGGTTGTTTCCCGTTATGGATCACCTGACGCGTGGCATTGTCATATAGCCAGCTGTTAAATGAGGTTGATAAAGACTTCAGCATTGCACGCCGTATTGTTGAAGTAGTTTCCGAATTTCTTCCCTGTGAACACTGTCTGCCGAAGGCCTTATCGAAGTCAATGAATTTGAGGCAGAGGTTTGACTGCCGTTCTGTGATGACGATTCGTAGAGTAGCAATTTGATCAGCACATAATTTACCTTTCCTGAATCCGGCAAGTTTGTTCCGGCCCGTGGAGTTCTGCATCCAGTGCATCTTTTATTCTCTCCACGATGATGTGACTTACTATTTACTTGGCCGGAACAAGAGCATTATTCGACGCCAGTTCTTGCATAGGCAGGCCTAATTTGCCCTTCTTTGGAAGCTTGACTCGGTAGCCCTTCTTCCAATCGGTAGGTACCTTTCCTTCTTTCCAAACTTTTGGCACTAATGGAACGAGAACATCTGCCGTAATCTCTGGGATCGTCTTCAGTGCTTCGAGAGGAATACCGTCTGGTCATGCTGCATTCTCGGCTGGCTTTCAGCAGCTTGATGGCACTCAAGATTTCTTCTTTCTTTGGAGGAGTGGTGTCCACTGGGAGGCGTTTCCGTGTGTTGCCAGGGGTGATCGATTCAAGAGTCCTTGAAAGTGATCCGCCCATTGTGCAAAACTTAAATCTTTAAATATTCCCATTTATAATATTAGAACAAGACATATAAGCGAACAATATTGTTGTTTTCAATTAGATCTTCTTCAGGCTTTACTCTAATTTACATAGACTTATATATATATATATATATATATATATATATATATATATATATAAAATTTTAACCAATGACGGTGATTTTGTGGATCAAATAATACTAATAATAATAATCATGTAACTTTCTATAGTTTGGTTTGTAAGGATTAGTTATGTTTTACGAGTTGATCACGGATTGATATCAGTTAGAGAACCATTGGAAAACCTGGGAGTACTGGACAGCTGCTGTTTCATCCTAGTTTAGGAATCATCGGCAGTACGCACCCACTGGGATTCGAACCCGGGACCTTCCGGTTACAAGACAAGCTCGTATACCATTCAGCCACTAGGACCCGATTCAATGGCTCGTGAATTCTAACTTCTACCAATTCGTGATTTAGCGCGACCCCAACCATTGTCGTTGGTGGGACATCCACCCACACACGTGACATCTAATTGGACCTCACTGGTCACGACTTCTCACTAGAACTCAGGAAACTCCAACCTGTAGCAAGTCACTAGCGAGCATCAGATTAACGAGCCATTGAATCGGGTTCCCAGTGGCTGAATGGTATACGAGCTTGCCTTGTAACCGGAAGGTCCCGGGCTCGAATCCCAGTGGGTGCGTACTGCCGATGATTCCCAAACTAGG